TATATATATTACTTTTTTAAATTAATAAATAAATAAAAATACTTTTATATGAGTGGTGATGTGTGCTTTTACACATTTTTGCAAACTATTAAATTCTTTTTAAATGACGTCATCAGCGCATAGAAAGTTCATCCATTCATTACTATCATATTACAAAGTCAAAATAATGATGCACAACTGACAAAAGAGAAGCATGTAGCCTGACAGGGAGGGTGTGAAAAGCTAAAAATGAAGTAGACACTTGGTTACAATGCCTGCATTCATCTCACATCAGGTCACTCATCGCTGCCTTCTGTCAACCAGGCCATGGTAAAACAAAAGTGGGAAAAAACAATGGCGGAAACAGCAGCCAAACACAATAAGAGTGGATTACACTGTGTAAATCAGGCCAAAAACCAACAGAAACTAGGATTAGACCGCAGCTGAAGAACAGAGGGAATGCACAGACCGCAGCAGTAGTTATAGAACCCTACAGCTACTTGACAGCTTGCTAAATGGAAGCCATTTAGTTAACTGAAAATCAATAGCTTCCTCAAACGGATCATGATTGTTTGTTAAGATTCTTGGCCGGATCATGTGACATGTCTCCTACAGCCTGGCTCCGAGGGAGTGGTCCATTATGAGCAATCACACGCGGCACCCTTCAGTTTCCCTGTACCTGCTCTGTCTTCATACAGCCCACTGACAGTGTGGAGGAGGAAGCAGTTCATAATCTCAGTGCGTGTGCGGATCGGGTTATGCCTACGAGGATAATAAAACCTGAAATCAAAAACTGTGGAGAACAGCCAATGCTCCTCATGACGAAAGCAGCTTAAAAACACACTAAATAATGGAAAATAATGTAAATGTATGAATGCAAAAAGGTTCGCTGGTCTCCATGTCTGGTCAGGCTCGGGTCTATTGGTTTGTTTTATATGTGTTCTAAAGGCCATTTAGCTAAACCAGCTGAGCGTCCTGCTTGACCAGGCTGGGGCGCGTGTGCAAAATGCACTTTTGTGCGCTCAAAATATGATCTTTCGCGCGCAGAATTGTGGCAGAAATGTAAGCCCATAGGAGACCAGCATAAACCAGTTATAACCAACAGCAGGTGATTTACATGTATTTTTTTCAGGAGGGAAAACAGTATTAGATGGTAAATATGATTAATTTTAATGTGTACAATTTGCATTTGTATATTTTCTTAATTAAAATTTACCCCAATCTTCACATTACCTTGCAAATAAATAAATAAATAAATAACCAGCCTAAGCTGGTTTGCTTAAGTTGTCTCCTAGCCTGGTCATTAGGCTGGTTTTGAGCACAGACAGCTAAATCAGATGAACATCAGCTTGGTCAGACCCTCTTAAACTAGACAAGACCAGTAAACCAGCTATTTATTCCCTCATTTTTTATACAATAAAAAAAATGACATAAGAGTGGAGCCAAACTCAAGATGGACTTTAAAAAGACAGATTTGTTATTAAATTGATTAAGAAACAGAGATAATAGCATCTAGGACGCTTCGGTGCGTGAACAACTCATAAACAAGCTGTGATCATTCATATAAAAAACTGAATACGAGGGCTTTTATCAGCAATAAAGAGCGCAGTAGGTTACATCACTGTACTTCATACTACTCTGCACATACATTTCACCGTATGACACTTAGCCCTACTAAAACGGCAAAAAATAAATAAATAAAATAAATATATTAAAAATCTTCTGGTGAAAAGTGTACGATGATTATTCCGTGGTTAAATAAATAAATAAATGTTTGTTTTAGGCATATAGCCGAACGCCCACAAAAAGATTCAAATCGAGTGATTTGAATAATCAGAAAAGTTGATTCAGTTTAAAACAAAAAATAACTTAAATGCTGCGGGTGGTTAATTCCCTTTAAAATTAAACTCACTGTAAATCCTTCTGACATGAATTTGATTTTAAAACACCAATTTATGAGCCACCTCGCTGTCTTTATAACACGTCTGGTGCAGCCACAAATGATTCGTTAATTCAACCACTGATTTAAAGCTTCGCAGATGAGGCTGCACTTGTTTACTTTATACCGAACAACTTCCAGACGTGTGCTTTCAATGAAAAATAATATAACAATAATTCAAAGACCCACTCTAAGAATTACGTCAATCTGAGGGAATGTTTAAACAGGAGTCTCGCGCCAAATAACAAACAGCCCGAAACACAATTCATTTTAAGCTTCTGATGGTATCTTTACTGTTTTTATGACAACCGAGACCAAATCTCTCCATTATCAGAAAAGTTAAGCGGCTTCGAAGTGCAACTCAGCCTCCCTTTGCTGTCAAGACAACAAGCTTATGCTTGTCATGTCCTCAAAACACACACAAGTTTGAAAGTGCGCAGTCTCTGTAACTCCAGATAAACGGGACTTTACCTGTTGGTCCCTCTACGCTGTCGGCGTGAATCTGAACAGCCAGGATCAAGAGAAAAGCGCAAGTATTCATTTTATGTTGTTAGTCCAGTTGGGAAAACAAGCCGAAATCATTTCAGGGGGCTCCAGTAGTTTGGATGGTTAAGTTCATCGATTCCCGAAATCCAGCCGAAGCTCAGTTCAGAGTCGCGTGAAGTGATACGGGGGCAGTGCGAGCTGTTCAAACTGACGTCAGGATAAACAGTTCCAAGCGATGTTTCTTTCTCTCCGCGAGCGCACTTTCTGGCGCTCGAGTATGCGTAGTGTGCTTCAAAGTGTGCGAACGACGCCCCCATGCGGGGCTTTCGAGAAGTTGAGCTCTAATCATCCTGGTGTTCTCAGGCTTATACATTATGATTCATCGTAATCTCTTTAGCCCGGCTACTAAAGACAAGCAGCTTCCATAACTGAATGAAATTAATGATGTGATTTATATTGGTTGATAAAATGAGGAAAAAGGCCATACATTCTCTAAAGCACGTTTAGTTCTCAGCCTTTTTTACCCCAAAGCCCCCATTTTACATTGCTGCATCTGAATTTCTGTTTGTTTGTATACGTACGTGTGTGTGTGTGTGTGTGTGTGTGTGTGTGTATGTGTACCTGTTTTCCAATTCTGGTGGGGACTTAAACCTGAATACACACAGACTCATGGGGACTCGTGTCACGGTGGGTACCTAAATTGAGGTCCCCACGGTTAAACAAGCTAATATGAGGTCCCCACGGGTAAACAAGCTAATAAATCACACAGAATTAAGTTTTTTGAAAATCTAAAAATGCACAAAGTTTCCTGTAAGGGGTAGGTTTAGGTGTAGGGTTGGTGTAGGGCAATAGAATATATGATCTGTACAGTAGAAAAACCATTACACCTATGAGAGTCCCCACAAGGATAGCAAACCAGACGTGTGTGTGTGTGTGTGTGTGTGTGTGTGTAACATATGTATGTAACATTTGAGATAGTTGATAAAAATGTTAGTAAATTGTAAGCATTTTATCTTATTTTTTATTATTTCAGTTTAAGATTGTTTTAATGTAACTTTAAATTATATATATATATATATATATATATATAAATAGTTTAATATGAATATTTTAATAATATAATATAATATAATATAAATAGTTAAATATTTTGGTCTCTTTGGAAGTTTACCGAGTCCCTAGATGACAACCACTGCTGATGTTTACAACATAAGATTTGTTTTATAAAACAATATTTCCTTTTCCATGGATATTCAAGCCGCTAAACCAAGCAGACTTACGTGTTGTAGGTTTTCAGTTCTATAACAATAGCCATTATGAGGCCAACAAGCTATAGAGCATCTTATCTACGCAGTCCCACAGGTTGGATGGATTTGTGTTAATCTGTTTAGGCTCCACAAAAGGAAGGACTACCTATTGAGCCATGAATGGAAGCAACAGAGCCAAGTTGGACCTCGGCTGCCCAAGGTCCAGCCATGTCCCACAGCCAGCAGGGATGGCAGGCGGAGATAGCCACATGCTGATCCATTCACGTTTTTCATACCAATTTAATTTCACACAGCAGCAAACAGTGCACCCTTTTTTTCTTTCTATCACAATTAGTCTACCTATTACATATTCACAGCAGGGGATTCCAACTCCAGAGATGTAGATCAAGCAATAAGATGGTCGGCTTTAAAGAAAAGTCAAATAAATTATGCCAGAGAGTAATTTGCAGCAAAGATGCACCTGTTTTGACAATCATATAGATGCATTTACTGTGCGCTTAAACCTCAAATATGGGAAAGTATCCTGCTGGGAATCACCTGCTGTTAAAACTGGTTAGTTAAAGTTACTTGACACAAAATAGCAGATCTTCTTTCTATCAACTCAACTAGCTCACTGAATAAATAAATAGATAGTTCAACCAAAATCTGTTAATACGAAAATATATTTTAGAAAATGTCAATATACAGTGAAAGTCAGTGGGGTCCTTTGTTGTTCTGGACCCCATTGACATGCATTGTATTGACAAAAATGTTGAAACATTCTTCAAATTATCTTCTTTTGTGTTCTGCAGAAGATATTTTTGAAAAATGTTTCAACTTTTTGTTTTGTCTTTACAATGTCAGCGGGGTCCAAAACAATAATGGAAAGTATATTTAAATAATAAAGTATATTTTAATAAAGTATATTTTAGAAAATGTCAATAGTATACAGTGAACATCACTGGGGGCCAATGGTGTTTTAGACCCCCAAAAAATAGACAAAATAATTCTTCAAAATCTTCTTTTGTGTTCTGCAGAAGAAAGTCATACAGGCATGAAACATCGTCAAAAAAATGGAGTAAAAACAATTATTTTTAGGTGAACAACCCCTGTAGTGGAATAGATCATCCAAAAAAAAAAATTGCTGAAAATATACTCACCATCAGGCCATCTGAGATGTAGATGAGTTTGTTTCTTCATCAGAACAGATTTGAAAAAATTTTGCATTACATCACTTGCTCACCAACGGATCCTCCGCAGTGAATGGGTGCCGTCAGAATGAGAGTTTAAACACCTGATAAAAACATCACAATAATCCACAAGTAATCCACACAACTCCAGAGTCAGACCATCAATTAACACCTTGTAAAGTGAAAAGCTGCATGTTTATAAGAAACAAATCAACCATTGAGGTGTTTTGTCTTTTTATCTTCACTTCTGGCCAAATACGAGCCCATCATATATAATAATGCTTCTCTCCTATTCATTAATTTTACCCAAAGTTTGCTTATTTGCATTCTAAATAGTCCCGAACTATGACGATACTGCAGCAGTATCCAAATACATGATCTCTGGGATCTGCCTGGAGCAAAGGCACAAATAACTGTGTAATAGTCACCATCTCCTATATGACCTTGTTCAGTCATTGCCTTGGAGGGCACCGTGCAGCGGTTTATCATTTGTTTCGGTGTCCCATGTGAACGTCAGAATGGGGCCTGTATAGCATTATGAAGGGTGAGACAGGTGCACTTTTCTCCACAAAACCATGTTTGAGTCCCGTTAAGGGAGTCACCAGTACACCCACAAACCTTTTTTCGAGGTAAATGACAAAAGAGTGATGGACTGTGCCGAGTTTTATTCGATTCACGAGAAGTGTGGGAGGATTATGAAGAGCTCCTCTCACGTAAAATAAGATTGTGAGCACGTATGTGTCGTGTATAGGGAAAACTCTTCTAAGAATAATACAGTGTAGGACTGGAAACTGTTTATATGATTAAACACTTGAAGCAAAAAACAAAACAAAAGACGTTGTAAGAGAAAACCGAAGGTTGTGACCTTATACTGAGAGCAGAATGTTCTCTATTTTAAGTACACACTTAAATGAACTGTAATCTGTCTGGGAAACAGATATGTTGGCATTTTAGCAGTCAGACCATATACAACAGGATTGTCACGCCATCTCTTTCAACTGTTTCTTAATGTTTTATGGCCATCTGGTGGTATATATTCAGAATGCATCAAATTATTGAATAAGCTTGACATTTTTATTCCAGAAAACGAAATGGTATCTAGGTATGTAAAGGGCTTTCAATACAAACAAATGTACAGTTTAGCAGTTAAATATTGCTATACAAAATCTAACAATAAATACAAATCTTTTGGGGGCAGGTCTCATTAATACTAGAGACTTAAAAATGCAACATACCAATTTTAGCTAGAAAAAAAAGTATGATTTTGCTTTTCTTACAAATAATTGTGATTTCATAGCATTATTTTTCTTTTTTGTGGCGTTTTAACATAAGCATCACTATAATTGCAAAATATTTTTCCAAAATGTACAAAAATTGTGTATTTCAAATTATTGGAGGTTGTCATGTTTACAATCCAATGATGTCTACAGCGCAGAGGCAAGTAGAGATGTGGGAATCAATTAGAAAATAAAACTCCAAAAATAACCCACTAAATAGCTAATTTTTAAGAAACATGGCAAATTTTAGACAAGATAAGTATACTGTAGCATTTTAATTTTGACTACTTTCAATAAAAATACTTGAATGAGTTTTCTGACTCTAAAAATATACATATGTTTTAATAAACAAATTTTAAAGTAGTTCTTCCTTGCTTAACAGACAGAGAACAATTGAGAACATGTATTGAGATACTGTATATTAATTTTAAATGAATCGAAGACATTCTTTACAGTTTTTCTCAGTCGCTTTGGTGCATTTCTCAGATCAGAAATGAAATTCTCAAAACTACTTGGTCAACCTCCACATCATCTAGTCATTTGTGCACATCATAATAGCAGTTTCTCATTCTTTTGAACAAGTTGCGATTGCTTTGGTACATTCATGCAATTGATTATGTACATTTGTCTGCGGTTTCCTACATTATCAGTTGCTAATGTCATGTTGCTCAAAATGCATTATTTAGTTCTCTGTGCAATAGCTTTTCCCCTCAAAACATCTAGTTATTAGTTCATCGTGTAAGCAATTAAATGCAAAATGGTTGATCTAGTGGTCATAAACTCTCAAGCATATTTTTTACACATTTCTATTAGTCTTTTTGTAAATTTGCCATGAATTGTGCAAGTGAATCTTGACTTTCACTAATGAAGAGAATTTAGATCAACCAATGACAAACCAGTTCTCAGTATAACTCAATGGTGCATCTCATGAACCTTCAAACAATGGATGAACATCCAGGAAACGATCAGGGTCAACAGCCGAGAGGAAGAAGAGGAGTAAGGATGCATGGTGGAAGGGTACAGAGGCAAAACAGAGGAAGAGGCAGAAGAGGCCAAGGACAGCGGCACATATCAGATGAAATAAGGGCCACTATTGTGGACCATGTTGTCAATCATGGCCTTACAATGGCTGAGGCGGGTCAAAGGGTGCAGCCAAATATTGGGAGATCGACCGTATCCTCAATAATTCAAACATTTCGTAGAGAGAACAGGCATGTCAACCAATGTGCAATGTACTGTTATACTGTATACTTGCTGTAATGATTCATAATACAGTGTTCATTTGTATTTTGCAGCATACAGCAAATATATTGCCTATATGTGTATATATATATATATATATATATATATATATACACTGTATATATATTTGTGTGTGTGCACTTTTTTCTGTTTTATGTGCAAAATCATGTATTTTGCATTTCTGCATTTTTCCCCCCAGAGAGCTGCAAGATTACCTCACAGGGGTGGCAGAGGACCCCTTTTCACACCTCAACAGGAGGAGGCTATTTGCACCATGGTCAGAGCAAACAATGCCATTAGACTAAAGGAGATACAGAGTGCCATTATTGAAGACAACA